GAGTCCCCAGGTTAAATTTGGTCCTAGTTAACTGCGATACAGCATTAAAAACCAAAGGAAAAAGGAAAAAAACTGTAGCTGGATCTTGATCAGATTGCGAGGGCCTTCACGAAGCACCACTGGCAAGTATTTCGCCTTTGTTTTTTTTTTAACACGTTATATTGAGTTTTAATATGCCAGTGTTTGGGGATTTTAATTATTTCTAGGGTTTCTTTTGTCTTACAATAGCTATTCAGGTAACAGCAGTAATAAATGAAAAGTTACGAACATCATAATGCATTCTTAAAACTTTATTAACGTGACACAGGTTCTCAGTACAGACTGCAAAGTACAGTCAGAAGTCTAAATATCCCCAACTTGAAACTCCGGGCTGTCTCTGTCCGCAGCGCTAGATACTGGAGTCAGATTTTGGTGACCGTACAAACGTTGGTATGACCTTCCTCTGCAAGCTATTGGTGAAGCAATACAAGTGTCGAGATGTGCAAAAAGATGTTCTGCGGGTTCTGAAGGCAGAGGAAGCGACGTGGAGGCACTTGGCACACCCCAGTCACGACAGCCCTGTCTGCAGCAGACAGGAGAGGCACCTGCTCTTGCCTGTTCTCTTGCAGAGCAGGTGAAGATGACGTTGTTCCTTGCAGCAGTAACTTCTGCCCTAATTCTGCATTCCGGTCTGGAGTGCGAGGTACAGAAGCAAGGACTAGAAACAGTGCAAAATAAAATAAAAAAAAAAAAGAAAAGTCCACCTGTTGACCTGAACTTCTCTTTGATCTCTGCTAAGGCTCATGTGCCTTACTTCCTGTTCTGTGAGGGTAACGGTGTCATTGTTACCCTAGAATTTGTATTTGTTCAGTCCAGGAGACTCCTGAAATTACGAGATAACAGTACAGATACAATTGGGAGAAAAAAAAAAAAAAAAAAGCCTGAAATCCTTATCTGGTGTGTTTTTGCTGTTTTAACTACAGTTAAGGCAGCGTCCAAAATACCTGTTTTATTACTAGATGTGCTTGATGAAGCAGTTAATCCCCAGTTTCTGATTCTTTAGCTACCCACAGCTTACCTATGGTTCCCTATGAGGAGCTGGCTTGAGGAAAGACTGCACAGCCAGGCTGAAGTGGGCTGAGGATAACTAAAGCTCGTAATATTCCAGAATACTTAATGCATTCACTGCAATGTTAAAAATGCTAGCACATACAAATTCTTCTGAGATTTACAGGCACTACGTGGCGATTATGTGCAAAAGTCTGCAGATTTATTTTTTTTTTTGGCATCGCTACTTATTTATGAAATATATTTCTTGCAAATATAAAGCATTTTTTCTCTCTGAAAACTGAAGAAAATTACAGTAAAAGTGTATGAGTATAATAAAATAAATGGCTAGGGAAGAAAAAAAAACCACCACCTTATTCTACTATTGGGGAAAAAAGAAAATAAGAAAAAAGTCCAGGAAGTGTCACTGTACAGAAACCACCCAGAATAACCACATGCTTTTTGCATCAGCTTTTGTTCTTCAAGAAAAATTATCCACCAAGAAAAAGACAATGTTTTATATGATGCGCCAAGATCCTGGGAGGGGAAGAAAAAGAAAAAAAAGTTAACAGTGCTTATCTTCTTTAACATGGAAAAAAAAAAATCACAAAATACATCTGGGAAGTATTATCGGAAACCTAAGTCTGTAATGCCAGAAAGAAATCCAGGAAGACCTAGTTTCACAAGAGAGGAGGCGATTCAAAGTGACACCGCAGTGAGGGCAGCACTCCACTGCAGATACGCAGTAACAATGCATCTTTCTCTTGCCCGTTTGCAGTCGGTCACCAAACCCTCACAGGGGATTTCACTGCACGTCAGAGCAGAGAGGCTCCTCCGCAGGTTCTCAGCAAGCCAGAACTCAGACCCTCCCGGCTGGCACGCGGGTGGATGGAGTCCGGTGCTGGACATGCCCTTGCCTTTATCCTCCACACCCCAAGAAAGCCTCCAGCCCAAAGCACTGGCATCGAGCATCAAAGTGCAGTTAGGTGAATACTTCCGTGAACTAATGATGATGATGAAAGACTCCAATTACTTGCTCTCATGTTAAGGGTGTGATCAAGCTAAATACAAAGAAGTAGATGGTGGCAGCAGAAGACGTGCACAGCACGAGGCTGCATCTGTGCCAGGAAAGCCGAGAGGAGGACACTGAAACCTGCTGTACCTGCCAGCTTAGCTGTGGGGCTTTCTACAGCTGGTCTGGACGCCATTCCTAAATTAGCCTGGTGCGGAAATAATGACATAAGCTCACTGTCTTAAAGATAAAAACAACCAGCTGAGATGATGTGCTTGATCTTCATTACTCTGTACAAAGGTCTTACCAGGGAAGCAGTTATGTCATGTCTTGGAATCCTTAGTTACAGGAACGTAAAGGAATTTAGCTACGTGAAGTAATTCTGTACAAACTGTATGGACAAAGGGTGTAGGAAAAAAAGTAAGGCCTTTTCTGCCTAGAAGCACTGAAGTTCAAAGTCATTCCAAGTGTTGTGTCTAACAGTGTCTCAAACCATGTCTTGGTTCAGTTAAAAGACTGTCAACAAACCTAGCTTTAGTAACACTAGCATGAGTTGTCTTTGTTCAGAGACTAGAGAGGAAGAAATCTCACCCAATATTAACGTTTAGCTTGTTTTCTGCTTCTCAGGTTTGCTGCCGGAGGACTGTTGCTTTGCCTAAAGAATGAGAGAAGCACGAGATAGTAAGAAACTGTGAACAAAGGTAAAATCTGGAATAAAACAGTCACAGATACTCATCGGAAGTCACAGTTCAGACACAAATATGATCTGAACTTAAAAGGTTTAGGAACAGTATTTATAACTTCTGTTGAGTATATGTATTTTCATTTTTCCACCATCGCTTACTTTGTTTCAGATACAGAGGGCTGTGGCTGACCTCTTCATACCCTATTTCTCAACATCCTTTTACCCATGCTAATGACCCAGTCACAACTCAGAACAATAAAAAACTACATCCCTCTAAAGAGGAGTTAAAGACACCTTCTCCAATTTTACATCGAAAATTGTAAGGCAGGTCTGTTGTTACACAAAAGGCATGCGTTGCAATTTCATAATAAAGAAAAATCCCATCACTTGAAATGTGAAACACAAAATTTCCAGACCAGATGCTACCACCTGATTCAGGCATCTACCTGCATGTATCCTGTGAGAGAACAATGTGATGGGAAAAGTTTCATCCTTACCTAAATCCATTTTCTGCATTTCTGGATGACAAAAGCTGAGCAACCTTTTTTTTTTTTTTTTTTAAATATAGGAACAACTGCCTTCCTTTTCCCACCAGATTCATTTTGCAGACTTATTTATGAATATATGTAGGTTTTCATTCATTTTTAAAAATAAATTATGGTAATATCTTGAGAAACAGACATGTGGTTGAAGCTGTACATTCTAATCACTTTTAGAATGCAGTTATTTAAAACTGTCAAGAAGAGAGAGAAGTGATCAGGATCCTGAGACAGCCATAGGCATGTGAAATGTGACTCTCAGATCAGCAAATATGGGAAGGAGAAGCCTGTGGAGCATGCACCAAGGCCCCTGCAGAAGACAACACTGTCTCTGAAAAGAACATATTTTAGCCCCTGTTTATTGAAAATTTCCCTTGAAATAGAGAGGTGCTTTTCTCCTATGTATATGCTTACAAAAATGGATCAAGTTCAACCTATTGATGTACAATTCTCCCCAAAGTAATATCCATGTAATACGAATCCAAAATCCGGTTGCCCATCTTTCATGTTCATAGTCTACGGTAACCATGACTGTCCATATTATAATATGTATATTTCTACCGTTTTAGGGTCTTTGGATTTTCCTTTATCCTTTGGGGTTGGTTTAGTGGTGATTGTTTCCTTCCCACTTTTGTCCTACACTCCAAAAGAAAAAAATAATTACAGTTACAAACAGATCAGAGAATTAATGGCTCCTACTTTAATATCTACCATAACACATTATTTTAAATCCGGCTGGTAAGGTGAGAGAGAGCTCAACGCAGGACACGTGCATGTAATTGCTGCTCTTAGTCCACAGCAAGCTGGAATCTGGAACCTTGTTTAACACTGGGGAGACTACGGCACCAGAAAGCATACACAGATGAAAAAGGTGGTATATACGGGCAGGTTTTGTATTTACTACAAAGCACTAATGCTGCAGCAGAAGATTTTTCTTCGAGTTCATAACCACACAAAACATCACTTAAAACAGCAATAGTTTGTCTTAAGCCAGCTGAGGATTTGGTGTCAAGGTAAGCACTTGGGGAAGCGCTGTTGTGGTCAGAAAAGCTATTTGGAAACACAGCTATTTTCTCCCAGGAATTACATCTGATTTGAACTTCAGTTTCAAAGCTGCTGCTTCTCTGCCCCCCCAGGAGAGGAACACAGCATAAAAGCACAGATAATCATAATCAACATTTGGAGAAGTATGGACAAACTTACAATACACTCTTGGTAACTGGGTGCCTTGTAGTATAAGCTTAAGGAAGCTAATGCAGAATTTCACCTGGGAACTAGTTATGCTTCCACAGCTCTGAACTTTTGACTGCTAATATACTGGTTTGGTCAAAGATCTTGTAAGTTCAAGCTTTGTTTTTTCCTTCTCCTTAGAGAAAGCAGGCAGGTCACTGCTGCAGGAAAAAGGCAGGGATGGGCTGGCAGGAGTCAGTAGCAGATGACAGACAACAGCAGCTGCTTTACCCAGCTGAGTACAGAAACCATTCACCACTCCAAAAAATGTGTACCACTCCCCACGCCTGCAGGTGAGGGACCAGGGCTTAGGACAGAACCCGGCACATCACAGAAGCACAGAATGATTTGGTCGGAAGGGACCTTTAAAGATCATCTAATCCACCCCCCCTGCCATTGATATGCTGTAGAAAACAGGATTTTCCACTGAGTGAGAACAGTGAGCCATGCACGGTCTGGTGACTGGAGGAGTGTGCCGCTCAGGAATGCAGAATATGTAAAGAGGAACAAAAACCATAAGATAAGAAGAGACTGATCTCCATGCTGGTCTCGGACAGTTGGGGTCCAGAAACTTAGGGAATTGTGTCCTTTAGATTAACTTTTTTTATTATAATCTCATTATAATGCTAAAAAACACATGCCAAGGAGGAGATTTTAGATGCAAATTTAAGACCACCTTAATATAATGAAGTAATGAGACTTGCGCAGATGACTTTTTGTCAAATGCGATCATGGGTAACCAATCATTTGCTTTCAGTAGTTTCTTCGTTTTTATCTTGTATAAAAGCTGCCATGCAATTTTCAAGGGAGTGCTAGCTTTGTGGGACTACGCCCTAGCACCCATCTCTGTACAGATATGGAACAAAATACCTCTGCTCTGTGTGTATATTGGCATATTGCACACCGGGTAAATGAACCTCGCTTTTGGGACAACACCACGGGCAGGGACACCTCCCACCACACCAGGTTGCCCAAAGCCCCATCCAACCTGGCCTTGAACACTTCCAGGGATGGGGCAGCCACAGCTTCTCTGGGCAACCTCTGCCACTGCCTCACCACCCTCACCAGGAAGAATTTCTTATTAATAGCTCATCTAAATCTTCCCTCTTCCAGTTCAAAGCCATGGCCCCTTGTCCTGTCACTCCCTGCCCTTGTCAAAAGTCCCTCCCCACCTTTCTTGTCGGCCCCTTTAGGTACTGGAAGGCTGCTCTAAGGTCTGCCCGGAGCCTTCTCTTCTCCAGGCTGAACAACCCCAACTCCCTCAGCCTGTCCTCAGAGCAGAGGTGCTCCAGCCCTCGGATCATCTCCGTGGCCTCCTCTGGACTCGCTCCAACAGGTCCATGTCCTTCTTGTGCTGAGGACCCCAGAGCTGAAGGCAGTACTGCAGGGGGGTCTCACCAGAGCGGAGCAGAGGGGCAGAATCCCCTCCCTCGACCTGCTGGCCACGCTGCTTTGGATGCAGCCCAGGACACGGTTGGCTTTCTGGGCTGCCAGCGCACACGGCCAGGTCGTGTTGAGCTTCTTGTCAACCAATACCCTCAAGTCCTTCTCCTCAGGGCTGCTCTAAATCTCCCAGCCTGTGTTGATCCTAGGGACTGCCCTGACCCACATGCAGGACCCTGCACTTGGCCTTGCACATGAATTTAGTGAACATCAAGTCTCCTTTCTGCTTAGCACATGCTAGAGGGTAAGAGAGCAAATGGCTTAACTAGAGGGAGTTACTGGTTCTTAACTAGCTTGAGCACTTGTAGATAAGAAAAGGAGTCCACTATTTTCACACCAGTACCCCAGCAGCTGCCCCAGAGCCCCCTCAGGCCTCTCTGCCAAGGCAGTACGTAAGGTGCCTGTCATGGCACAGTGGATGTCCCAAAGCCATACAAGACCTCTCCCTCTGTCCATGCTCAAGGTAACAAATCTCAGGTTAAGAGAAAGCAGAAAGCACATCTGACAGGGATTCTTCTCACATGTGGACCAAATCTCAATCCCCTTCTTCACACTCTTTTCCAGCACAACCATCCTTTCTCAAACACCATGGTGGTGGCATCCAGATTTATGCATCTTCCGCTGCTAGTTCATTTCATATAGCCTTGCATGCGCAGAACTTTGCTGGGAAAAGTCTGACAGCTGTTTGTCAGCTGTGTTTAAGATGAATATATGGCAAATAAACACTCCATTTCTTATTACAAGACCTCTCCAGTCCATTCCTTCCTCATCTTTCTTGTGAGCTCTACTATTTTCCCTAACACATCTAAAACTCCTTTCCACTCCTAGCATTTCTCTCTGCAAAAGCCTCTTGAACTGTTTGTCAGTTCCAGCCTACAACTATTACTAGGTAGTGCACGTGAACATTGAAGATTCCTCTGCCTCTGTACCGTTTTTGGACACTCTAGTCTGTACAAAAACTGTTACCACAGTTCTCTGCTCAACTGACTTCTCCAAGTCTGCCTTACCTCTCTAAAAGACTCTAAATACCACAAACCTGCCTTCTTCCAAATACTTAGTGCGCAGCAAGACGCATCAAACTTCCATTACAGTAGTAGTAAGACAATCACTACATCTGGACAGCACGTTCCAAAGAGGCTAGCTCTAAACCTAAACTGAGTTACCGCAAAGAAAAGTGAGTAACTTTCACAGAGTAGTGAAAAAACATTTATTTTGCAAGTTATTAGCAGAAAATGTCCTACCTTCGACCGCTGTGGTGTGGCAGGAGCCTTTGCGCAAGTATCAAAGTCACCAGATAGGGCATCGATAGCTGCAGAGTCATCTGTAGGCTTCTGCAATAATTTTAATTCTCAACTCACATAATATGCAATATGTCGCAAAGTCAAATTAACGTTTCAGGAATTTATGTCTTTATTATTATGCTTTAATTATACTTTTCTTGGAAAAAAAAAACCCATACCTGAGCTCTACACATATGTTAGAACAGAGATGTCTATTTGAGGTTTCCAAGATACACAATTTCTTTGAATACTGGACTTGAACATTCACAGTGTAGTTGTGCATAAAAACTGTATTTATTGTGAAGAGTTACTCTTCACAAAAGTTTTACTGTCCACACTGTTACAAATCCCAACTGCATTCAATGGCATTTATGAGAATTCGCAATGAATCATGCCTTGAGCCTACCATGAGACTACTCGGAAAAAAAGATCACAGCACGCAGCATGAAACAAACACAGAACAAAAATATCATAAACGTTACCTTTCGTCCTTTGTTTTTCACATCGTCCTTTGCTGTTAGCTTTACTGGTTTACCCTTGGGAAGAAGAAAGATTACATCCTCATTTTGAACTGGTCAGATTAGTTTTAAGATACAAGTACTTATGTATGACACTGGGAGTTTACAGATTATGGAGAAAGTGACACAGTTCTGAACTGACTTCTTTTTTCTCATGCTGTGTATTCAAAGTCAGTTCACAATGTCTTTCATGGTCTGGTACTTCGACTACGTCTGCAATACCATCTTTCTGTGCTTGTAGTCTACTGGAAAAACAGTTTCTTGAGCCACAAAAGAGAAAATCTCACTGTCAGAGCACTCATATGCTCCAGTGAATGGCAGTTTTACAGGTAGACCACCAAGGTAATACCTGTATACGCACTTTGTCCTCAAACTTGGCACAAACTACTTCCATGAATAAGCATTATTACCCACAGCTTGCAAGTATCTCCTGTTTAAAAGCAGACTGCAAAGCCAAGCTGTTTAAAGGCAGATGCTGTATTTTTTCACCTGGTTTTCCGGAGTACCTACAACACTGAGACAGTGTAACTGGCTGAACTGCTAAATCTCCAGGACCTTGCTACTGGGTGGCTCAAAGTGATTTATTTGTTCAGATTGCCAAAGTTAAAAAATTTGCCCAATAAAAAAATTTCATGTGTTTAACCCTGATACATAAATACTAGTACACACACTTACTCACTTATTCAGCTTCCCTGTTCTCCACGTAATTCCAAGAGGACAGACTGGCTCCTATGCACAAATTTCTGGTGTTGCAAATAAAAACTAACAAAGCTTTTCCTTACCTCCTCACCTGACTCCAGAAGCTTTTTATAGTCAGGGGGGATAGTATCATCTCTTTCTCCAAGTTTGTCTCTGTGTTCAGATTTAGCCTTTTCCTGAAAGCATTTAATTTTTTAACAACTTTAATACTTAGAAAACTCTAAGTCAGAGTGCTCATTAAACTTAGGACAGATGCTTTTCAATCTAAAATTTTAAAACTACCCGAAAAAATCCACATATTTATTTCACTATGGCGTATGTTTCAGGCCTAATAGTAACTGTACACATTTAATAAGTTAAACATATATATACACACAGCAGCATCCCAACATAAAAAAAAAAATCGTATCAACTTTCAGTTCTGCTTTTCAACAATATGACTAAAAGGAGTCCCTCCATACTTCTGCATCAAATCTCATCTGTGCACTGTAGCTTTAACACAAAACTGACATTCCTGCAATGTCTTACCTGTGAATGCATCTCAGTACCTTCAGCAGAACCCAGGGCACGTACCCACCTCACACCCAAACTGATCAAGAGCGGCTTATCACTTCTCATCAGACTTAGGAGCCAGAGTCAGTTTGAAATCCAACACGACCAGAAGGCAGAGCACCACAAGCTCCTGAAAACTGCATCAAGGAGGGAAGCATTCCTTCCACGATGTTTATTTTTCGATTTATGCTGCTTTGACTTCTGGCAAACACACCAGAAACATGCCAAAAACAACACTTGGTTTAGATACAAGGTGCTTTTCAAGCATACTGTTGAAGACTATTTTTGTATTTGTTAACAGAGACATTTTAAGGATCTCTTCTTTTCTTAATTTTTTTAATATAAGGGTTTTCAATGCCTTTGTAAAGAACAACACATGAAGAAAGTTGGGCTCCTACAGCTCCACTGAAGCACGGGAGTTGCTGAGACCTGACATATCAAGCGTTCACTCCCTTGCTATGGCAAGAGACAACGCTACCCAGACTGTATAAACCTGTTCCTAAGGCAGCCAACAACCCCCACACTGGAACCTTGTCTGAGATTGGAAGTGTCCTTCTAGACTGCAGCCTAAATTTATTCATGAGCAGCTTATGGTGCTTTTTTTCCCTAGTAATGTCCTTTACAGTATTTCAGTTTACAATTTACTATTACTACTACTATTATACAGAAATGCATCTACTTTTCTTATTAGCAGAAAGGTCTTTATACAATTATATGAAGAAGGACTGAATAAAGACAATACAAGCAGAAACAAGCAAATTCAAAAATGGGACTGATTAAATGAACAGGTCTGCTGATGAACTTGGTATTTGTGGGGTTATAAAAGACAAAAGTTTGACAAAAAGAAGGCCACAAAATTAATTTTAGAAAGAGGCCAGGGAAGATACCTGAAAAATAATTAGAATAATAACAATAAAAGACACTGAAATCAAATTATCACAAATTTCCCACAGTATTTCAACATTTACCTCCAAGTGGCTAAAGTATATTAACTAGTTCAACATTTTTCACAAAACACATGAGTAATCCAGCTGTTTGAAAAGCGGTTGATATGCCTACATGTAGGACAACATAACAGTACGGGTTTTTTCTTCTAGTAACCTTACTCCTACATCTGAAAACCACATGCCATATACTCCTACAAGTATGTAAGAAGTATTGCAGTATACCATTTAAAAAAATTTCTAAGAGGAAAAGTAAGTATCTCAGATTTTGTGGGGCTTTTTGTTTGGTTTATTTTTTTTCCCCAACACTGCACAAGTTTCAGAATTTCTTTTGGTACCTTTACTTTATCCACAACTGGTTTGTTCTCATCAGGGTCAGGTTCCCTCTGTCCCAGGGTATCAGACAGGAGATCTAAGGCTTCATCCATCTCTTCTCCTCCCTAACAAAGTATAAACACATTCATGAAAGCAAATCTGCTGTACAAATAATTTAATTCACCGAGCTAATAGAAGTACTGACTGACGAATTGTCACCTTCAGTCAACAATCAGCTCTCCCTTTGTAATTACAATGTAGTGCAATAGCTGCGGAAAAAAATTACAGAGTATTTAGTCCTACAGAAAACATAATTTCAAGAAGGGGTTATGGAATTTATTTTAATGGCTTTGTTTTGTTAGGCATAAGCCTAACTGATCGACTGAGAACAGCTCTGTGAAAAGACTGGTTTTCGGTAATTGCCATTCATTTGCAAACACCATTATGACTGCAGATTTGCTGGTAAGGAAGTGTCAATCTGATTTAAAACAATAATTACTAACATTTTTATCTTCACAGTATGTGTGGCTTTTTTCCTAAGCCTTAAACCCAACTAAAACCCAGGTGGAAGGATTATATTCCCCTTCCGTATTAGGCTGGATGCACTAGAGGGAGCTCCCACTGCACAGATAGAAATGGAGAAAGAAAGCCATGCAACACTACCACTAAATGCAAGGAAGGGAAGTTCTCTATTAAAAGGAGGTCATGGCGCTGCCTATCCCTCCATTAACCTTGAACTCCTCCTTTTATAGGCTTAACAGATGACTTTGCCACTATGGTAATGACTACACTATTATTATTTTAAATGTTCTCATTACCTAACCAGAAAACTGGAAAAGAAAGGTGTAGTTTGGCTAAAGGCCAAAGCCTAAAAATGAAACCACTTGCACAGAGGTGTAACTACCCGCATCAACCTGTAGAAAGGAACTGCACACATCCTCTGATGTCCTCGGTAACTCTGGAGGAATCAGCACAGGACCGGGCACTTCCTTTTGCAAGCACAGGTGAGGAGGTTTCAAAGGCAGGCTGAAACAGGACAGTGAGCGGAACTCGGACAAAACGGGCAGACCAGTCTTCGCCGTCAGTTTTGTCCAGAAAACTCACATTTTTTTCTCCAGAGGGAAAATTCTATTTCCTCCCAACAGACAGTATTAGGAATACATTGTTTAACTTTGCAACAGTGTCTATTGGTAAAACTGGCTGGATCAGGCTCCCATCTCTCTTTATTAGTCAGTTCTTAGTTTGAGATAAGCATCTACAGAAGAGGTTGCTTACTGAGGTAGAACCCAGAGGAGCTGCTGAGTGCACTGAAGAAACTGTAGCAGCAGAGATAACGTCCGAGGAACTTGCAGGCTTTTCACTCTCCTTGGTTTTCTGAAACAAGACACAGTGTCATTACTAACACAGAAGACTAAAAGAAAAATATGCATCAAATTCCATGCATCTAAAATGCAATTTACTTCTAGGACTACGTTCTACTTATTTCAGATTGAAACCTCTTACTCAGAAGTACTGTGCAACTGCTTTGCATCTCAGTTTGTTCACGTTCAATCTTCCATCTCAACTACTGGGTTAAACCTTGGCATAGCTTAAGTCAGAGGCAGGTTTAATGTGACTTCAGAGGAGCTAAGATTTCACCAAGCCCATCTACATTCCCAAGTAATGCTTTTAAAAATTCTCAACTGCAAAGCATTCCTTATGCAAGCAACCAGTAAAAAGATATGGCAATTAACTTGTCTAGTTTTTTCTTATTATTAAAGTCTTGCTCTCCTATCAATTGCAAAAAACAAAAACAAAACATCAAGATTATTGAAATAACTTCAAAATAATACAGATTTTCAGAAATCAAATATACTTACCTTTATTACAGTTGGTGTAGGTAATGGTGCAGATGGTGATGGGGTACATGAAAACCCTTCTGTCAAACCCTCTAAAAGATCATTTTCACTCATAGGCTATCATTAAAAAGAAAAAAAAAAAAAGAGGCTTTTAAGTCTTTTCATCTATTAAAAAGCGAGCAGGTAACATAGTCTATCTCAGTTTTTAAACTGCAGCCTGAGAAACCTTACTGACACTTGGGTAAGTCAGTCATGAATGGAAAGATTTATCTGAATATTCACTTTTTTACCTGGGACTTTTCTTCTGGTTTTGGTAAGAGTGGTTTTCCATCTTTATCCTATAAAAGAAAAATCCCCTTATATTAAACCAAGCAGTCCTTAAATGACCATGCAATAAAAATACTCTGAGAGCATTCTCTGAAGGACAGATAGTAGTGCACAAGAAAACAATCTAACCAGTAACCTCTAGCATCTACTGCTGTTACTCAAGGTGCCATTCAAAAAATCCAGGTCCTGTAACTTAAAAACATTCGAGTGCTGAAAAGTGATTCAGCGTGTGGGATTCTGAGCTTTCCTACTTTGTGTTTCAACTTCTGTGGAAATAGCACAATTAATAAATAAAATCCTAACTTCCAGATTTGTAACAATAATCCTGGACGCAGCATCCAGAAAAGCCGTATCTTTTCGCAACGGCAGCTGTAGCTGGTGGTGTGCAAGTCTTGGCTATACCTAAGCAACCCATTTATGTCAAATCAGTTGTGTGGTGATGTTTGTAAAAATGCCACCTTTAAGTGCTCTCTTTAACTGCTTTGACCAATCACAATTTATTACATTCCCAAATACAAAAAAAGCTAATAAAAGGCTCCAGTGCACTAATCCCAGCCAAAATTATTCATGTGTAGGTACTTACATCTAAACCACTTCTGTGCCTATATAGGTATCTAATGATAGATGTCAGATATTCAGGAACTACAAACCAGAATTTTTATATACACCATAAAAATGGCTGAACTAAACATCAACATTTCAAAATTAAACGGAGTTTCAGTTTCATCCACATATTCTGAGGAATGAAAGGAAAGTAAGACTAAGACTGCACATTAAAAATTACTTTGGCTCCTGTTAATCTGTACTCTGGAGGGATTGTTTCTTCATCTTCACCCAGTTTTTTGTGTTGTTCCTGTTTGGTTTTCTCCTACAAAGGCAAAATGAAAATAATATTAAGAAGGACATATAACTACATCACAACAGAAATGCATATGAACAAGCTTTCAAAGTCTTCAGTCTACTGGTGCAAATTAGTCTCTCTAATTCAATCCAACTACAAGATAAAAATCTCATGAAAATTAAAAGAAAGCCTCTACTCTTGAGAAAGCTTTCATTTCTCTGCCTGTTTCTCCCTGTTTATATCAGAAGTAGCTCTACGTATTTCAGTGACGACCAACAGAGTTAAGTAAACAGACAAGTATGGACCAGTAATAAAATAGCATTATACTTCTGAGTCTTAATTTTTGACTTTTTTTGAAATCCATTCAACAGCTATCTCGGCTGCATGCAAGGGAAGGCTGAACAGAGAAACTGGTAGCCAACTTCAAAAAGGACTACCCCCCATTCAAGTTATGCTGGAATATGACAACTAAGAAAAAAAGGTAGTAAAGCCATCTTTGGGAACTTTCGTTTGATAGAGTTCCAGCCCACCAGAAGAGCTCTCCTTTCTATTTTTGGCTCTAGTGAACACCATCCTGTCCATGGTTTGGGGTGGCAAATGGGGACATTCAGACTGTGACTATGAACAGCATTCCCTTAGACAGAATACACATATTTCAGTGACTTACTTAAGGCTCCCTGTTAAAATAACAAGATCAGTGACAAAATCCAAAGTTTTATGTATCATTCCTAATTTAAACAACTCATCATAAATTTGGTTCCTTTTGGAAAAGGACCATACTGTATGCTACCTCTGATGTGCATGTAAATTCTGCTTTGGTTCAACAGTAAGACACTAAGCAAATGTCATTTTCAGAATCTGAGGGAACTGTAAAAGGCAAAATTATTAAGAAAATGTATTCACTGTGTTGAAATCCTACTAGTAATTCCTAAGCAGAACACAACTGGTTTCATAAGTAAATTTTGTTTTTAAAAAATGTGCAAATATTACCTCTAAATTGTTTCTAGTCTGAGGAAATACAGTTAATACTGAAGACAGTATTTATAGTCTATTTTTTGAGGTCTGATTGTTTCTCTACCTTAACTTTGTCCACAGCAGGTTTGTTTTCGTCTGGATCAGGCTCTCTCTTTCCTAGGCTACTGGACAAGGCTTCTAGTGCTTCATCTGCCACATGACCAACCTGTAAGGGTATTAATACAGTAAAAAATAATTCCCAGTCTAGAGTTCAGCTGCAGCTGAAGAAACCTGTTCATATACTACCACCACCAGCCACACATTACTAAAGGTAAAAATTGAGAAGTATACTGAAAAATTGTAATGCTTCTCTCCCTAATTGTCTTCATATACTTGGGATCTGCTGAGTTCAAGGCATACGGAAACTGACAGAGTTGCTCTGTAAACAGGCTCCTCCTTTCCAAAGACTTACTCACAGTCAAAATGTTCTACAAGGGGGTTGTCTGTTTTGTTTTTTAATAGAAGCATATATATTCTGAGAAGGGATGCAAGAATGTCAGCAATTAATGCAATCTTCCGAAATATGCAGTAGAACTATAATGATTTTTTTGTAGAATTTGTCTTTTCCTGCAGTATCTATTAAGTACACAAAGAGCATCCCTTTTAGAGCAGTAAGAGCTAGAGTAGACCACAAGTACTGTCACTTTGATTTTCTCTATTAAGAATGTCACTGACCTTCCCCATTCCCTTTGTGCTTGACTTGATTTTTTTGGAAAGCACTCAGACTTTGTGGCTTACCTCTATGGAGGAAGAATATGCAGTACTGAAACAGGCATCTTGACAATATGCTATACCATTGCATAAATGAAGCACAGAATTTTGCTTTAGATCCAGCTAAGACTACTCACTGAAGATGCAGCTGATGACTGCACAGTGCAAGCTGTGGCCCGAGGGACTACTTCATCCCCAGTAGTTTTTACAGAGGCAGGATCTGAAGGCTTCTGAAACAGAACAGTTACACTGCATTTTACTGAATATGCTCAGAAACCCAAAATGTACCTGTTAAGTTGCTTCTTTTTTTTTAAAATACAGTACAAAACAAGCAAGAAAACTCTGAATTTAAAGATAGAAGCCCCTCACTTAGGGACTAAGTGCCAATACTGCATGCTGCACTACAGGAAATGGGGAGGAAAACACAAACAGAAGAAAAAATTTTTCTTGAAAGAAAAGTAGCATTATCCAGTCTTAGCAAAACTATCAGTGTCAGCATCTTCAGTGAACTAGAAAGACATACTTTGGATGTGCTGCTGGGCTTCGATGGTTTGGATTGTACTGCAGGCTGTGCAGGGCAGGCAAAGTCTTTTGAAAATTCATCAACAAGATCAGATTCACTCAAAGGCTGCAAAAAACATACACGTGGTACAGGTGACTCACTGCCTGTTTTTTATTTACTTCTTCAAAAATTATATTTCAGCTACTCAGAAAGCAGGAAAACTTTCGTAGCCTACACCGAAATACCCTTCCATATTTACGTGCAACAAAACAGCATGAATTCCACAGTGCATCAATTAAGAAAACCACTTTTCAGAATGAGTCAGTTGCTTTGTTATCAAAAGTCAAGATAATGCAGAGAACATAACGTTCAATACTGTTTACAGGGCTACTGAAAAGGAAAATACAACCTCTTAATTAGAAAATAAAGAACGCTAATATTTACTAGCTAGTATTTAGTATAACAGCATCATGTTGTTATAATACTTCTAGTGAAGATTACATATAGGTAGTGGAAAGCAGCACCACCAGATTATGACCCTCCCATTTTAATTTTTTTTCTTTTTTTCCAGCAGAAGTAGAGTTCTCTCAGAGGCAGCACCTGGAAGTTCTCTTAGCTTGTGCACTGACTGCTGACACTAAAACACACTTTTAGTTCCCTACTGTGTGATCTACTACAATCTATTGATACTATATGATCTAGCACTATGTGATCTATGTACTTCTGTGATCTATTACTAATGCTCCTGAGATCCTTCAAACCACTGTTTACACATAAATGTTTAAATCTTTGCTAGCATCAATCACTATTCACTTGCTATGTGGAACTTAACTGGTTAGGGCTTATTTGGTCCAATTCGTAATATGTAAAATGACATTTCTAAAGGAAAGTCTCTTATTTTCCCTCCCACTTTCCTTCCTTTGTGGATCAGTGCCCCAAAGTCTTTATAAAATGCCTCATCACATAAGGCCTCACTTTTCATAACATCTGAATTCCTCGTTCAATCGCTAAATCAAAAACCTTTTAGGCAGTAACGACTTTTTTCACAAAAGTAATGCCACTGCACGTGCTTAAGGGTATGCAGAGTGGACGCTCAAAGTAACAGAAGCCCTATTTGAAATCATGATGGAAGAACTTTGCATTTGCCAGGAATCAAGGAAGAACTGTCAGCTGCCGAGTAACTTTTTTGTTTTCCTGGTTTTGCTTTCACTGATCTACATTACTGATGATACCACAGGAATACTGGCAAACCCATCTTGCTCAAAATTGCCTTCTTCAAATTATAAATAGTGAAGTAGTGCTGATAAAAATACTGCAATGTATGACTTCGATACCCCTGTGATTCACTTACAGAACAACTACTCAATTATATTTGTGTCTCTGATTGATAGAGGTGGAAGAGCATAGGAATATTGATTCTTCTACTAACCACTTGATTTTTTTTGGCATAAGACTTCACGATTCTGAGCTCATCTTCTGCTTCAGTTTTATACTGGACTTTAGTCAAATTATGAACCAACCTCGCTTAACTCATGGCATGTTCCTCTTCTGGAGTTTTTCTTTTTTTCTGTGTGCCATTTCTTTCATGCTCCCTGTGAAACAGGAAAGCTTGTTGCCTAACATTAGTGCCTGGTTTCCTCAGAGCATAGCTGCTCTCTCTTTTTCCCTTATGACATGCTTGGCATGTCTTCCTTCTGTGCAGCTGTCACACATCACCCACTCAAGGCAACTGCATGTCTAAGACCTGACATGCAAATTTTTAGAGATGTAAAGTCTTTTCATCACTGCTTTTCTGTTCCTCCATATTTCAAGCTTGAATAATACAAATGACTTCTTATTTCTGCTAAAAAGGCACAAAGTCATTCTTGCTCAGATTGGTCTTGATCTTCACACTCATTTCAGAAGAACAGAGGTTTCTTGTACTTTTCCAATTTCAGCAGCACTCCTCAACTCACAGTATTTCCGAAGCAAAGCGCTCAGTTTCTTCAGTGCACAGTTCCTTTGCTTTTCCAAATTTTTGCGCTCTTCCTAAGCATTTTAAATTAACCTTTGTAACTTTCAATCTTTTCATTCTATCTTGCACTTCCTAGGCCATGATGGATACTTTTTGCGAAGTCCAAACTGTTCTTTGTGATTAGCAAAATGTACGCTGCAGCTTTTTCCGTCTTTCCAGTCATGTTCCTTTATATCTGATCTGATGACTAATGAGTGGAAACTCTCAGGAAAACAAAAGATTTTCCTGCCTCGCCTCTCTCTGTCCTTCAACAGCTCCAACAGACTTCTACAGAACGCCTTACACTAATTCCCCATACAGCACTTCATTGTGTCAGCAGTCATTTCTGCAACTCTCTCCTGTCTTAGTAATCACTAAAACTCTTTCTTACTATGAGCTCTTGATTCACAGCCAGTGAATTTCAGTAAAACCAACTTTCACCTGACATTTCAGATCAGCAGGTTTTCAGATGTGCAAGGAAGTAAACACAAGCAGACCAAGAGACTTAAATAATGGCACAGAGAGAAGTGATGATAGGCAGAAAACAGGGTATCTATTCACATTCCTACAATACTGTGAGTTTTCTAACCTTAGGTTTTTCTTCAGGCTCTGGCAAGACTGGTTTTCCATCTTTATCCTAAGAGTAAAGTAAGTATTATTGAAATTTTTCCATTGTTATAACAAGTGCCGTACTCCGTAATCACCCACAAAATAGTATAAAATAAATGATACACACAAGATGAAATCAGTGACACGGTAACAGGAATTCCCCTAAACAAGGGGAATTCTTACATGGCCAGGTAAGTGGTTTAAGAAAGCAAAAGTCATGTCAGCACAATACAACTGGGCCAAGAGACCAAGAAGTTTTCATTCCTATCAGTATCACGCAGCAGGAACTAATTCCATAGTAAACCAAAACAGGAATTAATGCAGCAGTAAAACAAGCTTTGAGGGCAAAAGACAAACATTTGCATTTGACCAAATAGGGGGTTAAATCCCAGGTCTGTAGTCAGGCTGTATTGGCATCTCTAAAAAGAGGGGTAAAACTGCTCCTTTCAAAACAGAATGTTAACATTCAGGTCCAGCAAAGCCAGTTTACATAGCAATATTGTTAACATGAGTTATACTAATAACGGTTGCAAAAACTTTCAATTCTGAACTTTACAGAAAACAGACCCAGTTCTACTGTTGTTTTGCTTAACCTTGAACAAATCTCCATCACTTGAAGTGACAGTCTGAAAAAATTAGTGTACTTTTCATACCATTTTGCAATAGTGTTTCAAGGTTACATTACAAAGTGATACCCAACAGCACTTCTGTAAAAGGATGGATTTTACAGCACCGAGGTTTAAAATCAGAAAGAAGTAACACCACTCCTGGAGAAGGAATGTGTGACCTGGGAATATCAGATCTTTGCTCAGAATGCCTGAAAAACCCAGTCATGCCCACCGAGGAAGGGAAGGAAACTAGAGAGACAGAAATCAACAGCGGAAGAAAGCCACTGATTAAATACTAGTTTTGCTTCTTTTCCCCATGTCCTTCCCCTCTTTGTGACAAAGAAAGTGTTAGATACAGTGCCCCATTTACAAAGCTATGAAGATATGCAAAACTTACCAACTCTGGTGTTAACCTGTATTCTGGAGGTATGGTATCTTCACGTTCTCCAGCCTTTTTTTCTTTTCTCTCTTTAGCTTTTGCCTTAAAAAGAAAGAACAAAAAAAAACCACTTAGAGAAGTTAAAAACGCAAAGTACACTCAACTTCACCATCAACATTCTTCCGCCTACTGTTTGAAGTAGTACTGGCATCAGATAAAACTATTCCATATATCAAGATACTAAAATTCCTCAATTTATTCCTATCAAATTTCTGTGGTAAGATCATCATGGTTTAAGAATCAATGCCATATGTGAATATGGCTATATTATTTTAAATTCTAAAAAACTTCAGATACTATTCAGAGCCATACCTTGTGGCAGGTACTTTTAGAATTTTTGGGATGTACAAAATCCTTAGGTTTCCTTTGATTTCATCACTCTGACTATACAAGCTGTAATTATGTACCTTCTTCCATCACTGCTACTGAAACACAGCTTTTAATTCCCTGGAACTCCTTCCTGAAGCAATGCATCCACAAAGTTATCCAAAGGCCCAGACCAACTGAATCTGCAATACAACACGCTCTTTTTTTTGTCAAAATTGAGCTCCAACATCTTCTCTTGGCAACAAATGACTTTCTACTATTTCCCTGTCATTTGTTTGCTCTGAGCTGTTGTGAGAGTCGGTCCGAAGTTGGCCCAAAAGAACAGTAATGTCTCAACATCATCAATAGAAACTTGGAGATGATACAAGGACACCAACACCCGAAAAGGGAGGACTCCATGGTACGGGAAAACACTGTACTGTTCTCCACTACCTGGGACTGAAAGTAACAGCCGAGATAAAACCACATTCCATCTGTCAAAAAAGATGGATCTCACCTGCTGTCTCAGCAACAGGCAAGAAAACTTGAACCTTAGGTGAACTTTCCTCATTATAATATGAAAAACACACCTCCTAGCCGAAGTAATATGAAAACCCCCCTCCTAGCCAAAGGCCCCCCGCCTCCAAGGCAAACCACGCCTAAGACACGCCTCCTTGAGGATGCGCAAAAGTCTTGTTCGGGGAGGCGGCGGGAAGGTGGAGGTTGGCAGTGGTCCATGGGACAGAGGAGGGGGCAAGGTGTGTTGCTCAGCATAAAAGATGCTCCTTAACAACCAAAGTTTGGAAGTTTTCCCCACCAGAGATTACGATGATCAGAAGGACCGATGGGACGCTGCCAGACCCGGGACCATAGGGACGCCTTGGACCTGTGGTGGTAGCTATAATTCTCTCCCTATTTCTTTTTACTTTACCTTTTCTTTCCTCTTTACTCTTTTTACCTATTGCACGCCGCTTTACGGGCAACATAATAAAGTTACACTGATTGATTGAAACAAAACCCCTTTGGCGTTTTCGCCTTTGTTTTTGCACTTCAAGACCGGAGTTTAACGAACCATCACGAGACCATTACTGAGTGGACCGTGACAGCTGTAAGTGAAGACAGGGGAAAATATTAGTAGGATTATAGGCAGAGTTTGCAAAACTAAACTAAAGAGTCAAAGCTTAACACGCAAGCACAGGCCAACTGTTAAAATCTAACTGTTGAAGAAAAACCAAAGTCTTAGAAGACACAGCAAAAGGCAAGACCTAAATTAGAAAGATAGTGGGGTCTAATGGAAAAAGGCGTATATGCACTAAACCCCCAAAAGTTAATAAAAAATCAAACAGCAAGTATGTGCAAAACAACCTTGGTATAAATCGTACCCAGAGCTTGGGGAACAAAACAGAGCAACTGTAGCTAACATAGGGAAAGGTGTATGTATGTATGCTTGTACAGCCAAATGAAATGCTTAGAATTTTCCAGACTATCTTACTATATTCTATTCTACCTGTATCCACCTGGGATTTCTTCATTTCTTAATTTTCTTAATCACATAAGACTCAGACATTCCTTAGGCCTTTGATATGAAAGTGACTTTGTTATTATTTTACACATTTGCACAGTGTCTTAACAAACAAGACTCAGGATTCCACAGGACAGTCTGAAAGCCACTGTAAAAAGGAGTAAGATTATACCTCTGACACCTCTACAACAGGGGTAAGATCTTCTTCAGGTTCAGGTTCAGGTCCACCAAGAGTATCAAGAAGAGCTTCCACTGCATCATCTTTCATTTCCTGTATTTAAGAAAACATGCAAATAATTTCATTGTTTCTTTAAACTGACACAGGTTTTACCTTACATATCTTTTACGCTGTATATGAAGCAAACAGTCAGCACCAGACCGGTCATTTCTATTTGGGTTTACCTAATTTCCTTAACATCACATTGCAGGATATGGAAAATTACCTAATAAGGTCAGTACAGTCTAATCAAGACGTATCTCCTCTTAAGGAGAGACGAAAAGTAAAAAAAAAACAAAACCAACCAACCAACCAACAAAAACAAAACCAAAAAAAAGCACAGTGTCATGTAACACAATTACAATATGCTTTGACATGGCAAACCCAGAAAGTCTAAGGTCACACTTGCTGTCTGCAGAGGAAAAAAGAAAGGCTTGTAAAACATGAGAAAATTACATCATATCCAAGCTTTAAACACACCTTACATAGCTAAGAAAACGCATACATCTTTCTACTCCATTGCCTCTAGTCAGAAGAGCTGCAGTTAGAAGAATCCAGAAGGAAAATCATCTGACCTACTAAGGCCAGATCTTTAAGGTACAGCAGAGTCTGAGCAATGGCAATTCCTCTTATTTCTATACTTTCTATGATAAATAGGATTTACAACTGAAAATGAAGATGATGAGCATCTTTACAAAATCAAGCACATACAAAACATGACATGTGCTTGTAAATTTTAATTAGAAGTTAACTAGTCAAAGAATGGCTATGTATACCTCTTCTGATTTTGTTTTCTTCTCCTTAGGAGGAGCTGATGTCTTGACTGAACTTGCTGCTTGTGCTTGCACGATTTCTCCTTCCTTACTTGGCTTCTATGAGAGGCACGAAATTACAGGCAAATTTGCAAAAATAAAAAGAAGGGGAAAATTGTCAAGATAATTTTAAAGTGAAATATCAAGACAATAATGGCAATGTTCCATTGCAATAAAGGCATGCAGTGGCAAGAAAAATCTCAATACCTCTGTCAGACTTGTCTTCTTTTTTTCAGCAGAAGCAGTACTACAGGCAAAGTCAGATGACAGGGCCTCCGCAAGCTCATCATCTGTCATTGGTTTCTGACCAAGAAATTGCAAACTAGGTTATGATTATTTAAGTTTGAATATCAACACTGTCAAACTCAGTTCAAAATCTGAGTGTGCTCCATACTTACTCACACAATGACCTCACAAGCACATGTTGCTGTCACAGAAAAACCACAGATATTTCCCCTCACTGGTTGATTAATTTTTCAGATAAGCTTTTATTTTTTATGTTAAACTTATCAACAGTAAAATTAAGCTGGTCTACAGAATTCTCTTGCTAAGTATAGAAATTCAAATCATCTTTGCTAAAGACATAACAAAGAGACTCCTGCATGCACAGCTACAATTCATTCCCTTTGTTACTATTACGCCAAATATCTCCATGAGCATTTATCTGACTTGTTTCAACTTCAGTCAGTGTCTTCAAAATTCCTACTTCTTTATTAAAACCATCTGTGCCAAGTTCTATTTAGTTTTATCAGTATCTGTTATCTGGCACCGTACAGCCATTTCCCACTTCCTGGGATTTTTGGAAGATAGGTAACATTTGAATTTTCCTAGGAATCCAATGATAATTGGGTTATTTTCACCTTCCAGTACAAAAAAATAAGTCTTACTTCATCTCCTTCATCTACTTTTGGTGGGACTCCATCTTTGCCATCCCCTTTGCTCTAAAATGAGAATTAATTTTGTAGTAAATGGGAAGTAAAAACATACAATATGAAAGAAAACACACATGAAGAATATTTTTTTAACTCACTAACCTTCAACAATTTAACATACTCTGGAGGGAGACTACCTTCCCGTTTACCCATTTCTTCCAAGTATCTTGAAGATATATCTTCCTATGAAAAGAATGCACACATGAATGTTTCTGTACTTTTGTTTATTGAAATAAATTTCTAATGTAAAGCTATCTACAGTGATGCTTCCAGAAAGAAAATGTGAGGAAAGAAAATGGCTAGGTCAGAAGGCCAATCCTAGACTGTGCCTTTCTGAATCTAGTGTCATGCATATGCACCTTGACTAGCTTCAACAACACATGTCACCCAGCAAAACTCTGCATCTCCACTGCCAGATTCCTTCTGCATTAACGTAAGTCATTTCAGTGTCTCAGACCATAGAATGCCAAAATTTTTACCATGGCTGAGTACCATACTGAGACACTGAGCTTGTAATCTTAATTTTTCTTATGTTACTCTCCCATTCAAACTTAGGAAAGTATGCATTCTTCCCCAAATTCTCAACACTTTACTCTTTCTCAAGTAGAAATTAAATCTTCTAGGTTGTTTACACTCTTTTATACCTTCATCACTGCCTTTTGTAAATCCGTTGCAGACCATACTTGGAAGTCAGTTCAAAAAGCAACAGACTTTCTTTGTTGACACTTTATTGTTTTCTACTTGTCACCACTTAAGGCTTGGCTGACAAGTAAAGTGGACAACAGAGGCTCTCCATTAACCCCTTCCCCAGAGGGGAAGGAAAGGAGAAAAGGGAGAGAGACTTATGGGCTGGAAAATCAAAACTATTTTAATAGAAGAGTAACAATGAAAAAGAGTATAATACCAATAATACTAATAATAGAAATAAAAAACCCCACAAATCCAATATTCAGCTTCCCAATGACAACAAGAAGATTATGTGCCATGGTGGCTTGCACCACTGACATGGTAGGATGGGCATCCGGCACAACAATGTCGGCCATGAAAGAAGAAGGGCCGACCCCAGCAATCCCTTAGCTTTATACTGAGTATGATGTGCATGGGAAAGAATATTTTGTTGGTCAATTTTCAGTCACCTTTTCTGCCCGCTCCCTCCTGCGGGTGAAACCCTTTTATGCCTCTTCACTTGTGGACCACAAGAGAGCCAGCAGTGACTTTGGTTCCCACAGGAATAAGTACAAACACGGGCCTTTCTGCATACCAGTCCTACCTTTACCTTGGTAACAACTACAAACAACGAGTGTTGTCAATTCTAAAAGCAGACACTGTCTGAAAAACATGTAGTTGACTTCAGAAAGTGCAGTTACTTAGAAGAAATTGAATTGAAGGAAAATCTACTGAAAGGAGAACCGGTCCTGTTTCAGCCAAAACCAGGACACTACATACATAACTGTATCATTTCTGTATTACTGAAAAAAACACTAAAGTGCAAATGTGGAAACTCTCTTTTACCTCTTAGCAGATCAAAGCGATAAATACTGGATCAATGTAGTTGTGAGCAACTACAGACTATTTTAGAGGTGAATCTTCTAAAAAAATAAAAATTAAAAATGTAAATTACCGTAACTTCCGGACCAGTGTAAATGGGAGTAGTAGGCACATCTTCTTCAGGTCCACCTAGGGTTTCTATTAGGCTATCTAGTGCCGACTCATCCATATCAGGCTAAAAAATAAGAAAACCATTATAAAAGTTATCAAGTTGTACAAGGAAAAAAAAACTCTGAATCATCGGGTGAATCTGTAGAAAACTCCTGGAAACCAAACCAAAAGCTTTCTTTCAGTAGGTCCTGCACTTGCCAAATTTTTTAGTGAGAACTGTTCTTAAAGTCAGGGCCAGTAACAAGATCATTTGTATTTATATACCAGCTGATATACACATGTACATATACAAGCATAACTGAAGATAAAGACTAATTAATTTTATGCTAGCTGTGGTAAAAGTGATTCTAAGTAAGTCCTATTTGACAAAATACAAATGATGTGCCACTAGTCTGTTACCTATTCTTTCACATAGTCCTTCACCACCATACATAACTACAGTGTAGCAACACTTCAGCACTTACCAATTTATTTTTTTTTCTGAAGATTAAGTGCTCCAGAGAGAGAAACACTCTCTGATACATTTTTACAAACGAAGCATTTGTCTGGGACTCTCTTTACTAACCTCAGTACTTGACTTATCAGGTGCAGTAACCACACTTGCACTGGCTGTGCCTGCACCAGCTGCACCAGCCACTACGGACATCTTCTCAGACTTTGGCTGCAGAAATAAGACAAAAATTAACATTTATTATATGGCCCTATGTTAAAAATTCTAGAGACAAAACAAAGTAAAACAGAGATGTTCTACTCAGGCATGCATATCTATCGCCCCCCTTCATCTACACTTCGAATAAAAATGGTAAGCTGGTTCTAACTACTGGCTGAGTGGTCTGGAAGTTGAGTAGCTGCAGCTTGCATGACAGCCTAAAATCTCCAACTCTGAGGCTGCGCATATTTTTTGGGAACCAGCAACTGGCTAATGCACCTGCACAGTGCCCAGATGCTTGGGCAGAGCAAGGTATCATCTACCTGCAATACTACAGAAACTTACTCTGTTTCCTGTGTGATTTTGCTGTGAGAAAGCAAGCATGCTATTTTAAGTACTCTGCCTCTTTGTTTTACTTTGCCAGTAAAAGAAATCCGCAGTGCAGAAAGACTATGAGGCCCTTTTCAAGTCTCTTTTGCAAGCTTTCATTTATACCCGATACTCTCAATGCACCATTAATGCCAGCAGCAAATACTGCTCCAATAGGTAGGGTGAAAACTGCTTCAGGGAGTCAGGTGCAGGACCAACACCAACACAAAACGCAGACTTCTGCATTACTGACACCCTCATTTACTGGAAAAGAAGTGGGTTGTAGTAGAGCTGCAGGAGTCCTTCATGTCACTCTGGTCTTGTCACCCAGACACATGCAGAGCAGAAGAGGAAAAGATCTAGATCCTGACTCTACCACACACTTTTGCTCCAGCTTTTTCTCCACTTGCTCCTCTGAAATGACCCCTCCCCAACTTCTTCCCCAATCTTTCTCTTCCTAGTTTTTTTTCAGAGTCTCGCAGTCAGGCCATACAGCTACCCTACTGCAAACAGACAACCTGCTGACTCGCACCATTTGGAGCCAACACTGCTACTGCAAACATGCCTGAACATTCACAGGCGAAGGAGCTCCATGATGGCAATGCTCATATAAACAAAGCATTTGACTGACTGAGCAGACGGTCCCTTCTGTTCACCTTCAGTAGTGAAGAGGTAAGGGAAGAGACTGACAAAAAACCAATTACACCCACATAGCCGCAAGGAACTTGCAAAAAGCTTGCACGAATGACAGAGGAGCCCCAAACATGTAACACATGGACACAGGCTGACAACAGTGATAATCTTAATGTTAGTTGCTTGGCTAACAGCCAGAGTGTGTTGGACAATGAAAACAGATGTATGAAGAGGACAACAAAAGGTGGATGCACATCAGGATCACCAAACAACCAGCACAAACTACCAATACCATCTGGCTGGGCAGTTCTATCTGCAGCTGATGCTTATCCATTAATGCTCTCATGGGTTAGCTGGAAGTGGTATATTCAGGACGTTGTTTAAGGTAATTACTGGGTAAAGCGCAAAGTTTCTAAGTCCCAGATTTTAGAGCAGCACAAGGAGGTTTGTCATACACACCTTTAAAGACAAGACAGTTTTTGAGCTTTTCTACATTGTGGTTTTCAGTCTCACTTTACAATATTCAGCATAAGAATCCACCTTGGCATGGATTTCTAACACCCACAGTAACATAAATAATAAAAATTGGATTGCCATTTCTACTACACCTTTGCTGTCTCTGTGGAGGTTGCTTGTGGAGGCTGGTCAGCTTGAGTTGCAGTTACTTCTCCTGTATTCTTTGGTTTAGAAGTTGTTGTCACAGGTGAGGTTTCGTTTTTTGCCTGTGTAGAGATAAACTATTATCATTAGATACAGAAATACTTACGGGCTGGCTTTGTTTGATTTGGTTTTTTTAATTATTTTTTTTAAAAGAAAGAGAGCAAGAGAGAAAGAAAGAAGAAAAATACCACAAGAAACCCTCACTCGAAAAGAAAAAAAGAGAGAAAAATCATACAACTTACACCACTGGGTTCCTTTTGCCTCTCTTCAGATGGCTGTTTATTTTGAGAGTCTGATGGCTGTCATAAAATAAAAAATTGAGATCATTTACCCTTACCACCATTCAACACTACAGAATATGATCTACACTAGTTCAAATAAGCACAAGACAGATTTAAAGCTGGTTAACAAACACTTCCGAAGCTCTCATGAAGCAACAAACCATCCTGACCGTTCCACCCAAACACTGCATTTCCACACTTGTTAGCTCCCAGCTCTTTTGCACACAGGTATGTTACTAATCACACGGCAGTTTCGTGTGGCACAGCAGTAGCAAAGATTTTAGCCTCTTTTTTTCAAAGTCAGTCAAAGAGCAAAGTACAACCATTCGCCAAAGGTCAAAGATAAGTATTTACCTTGGCTGACTCCATGTGTTTTCCAGATTCTGTTTTGGTTTTTGGTGAGGACTGAAATACAAGGAACATATATTCAGACAGAGATTAATATGCTTGTTTATTTCTAAGGGGTTGGCTTATGTAAAGAAGAACACTAGACAGGTTCACACTCGTGAGCACACATGCTATGTAACCAATACAAACTGCTTTGATCTTGCAGTTTAAAACATCCTGGCACAGACCTCCACTCCAGCAATCTAAGGGTATTCAAATGTGTGCAAACACACACAGACACACATGCACACACTCCTCAGATGAAGGATCGAAAGAGAGGGAAAGAAGATATTCAACGAATACACTGAACAGTTTGATTTACACCTGAAAATTTTCTGCAGCCATGCCACAAAGTTGATTCCTGTGATCCACCTCAAGCCAAAATACAGTAAGCAGTACTAGTAGAAACACAGGTACGAACAAACACTGAAAAATTAAAGAACAGTTACATCTGATAAGAAGAAAGAAAAATGGAAATGCCAGCCTCCTCATCATATTTTTCTTACTATTTTTCCTTGCGCTTGCTACGGCAGCTGTGCCACAATTAACACTAAAAGAGCCAACGTGGCTACTGCAACGTCATCAAGAGATGCCCAAGAGAAGGCTGTTGCCTACTGTGTGAGCCTCCAAGGCTCTGCCCACTTGAATGGCCAGGGGAGCTGACGGACCCAGGGGAGAGCGACCTGATCTGCTAGGGACAGCACCGGCTGCAGGGGGTACATGGCAGGAGATGCCAACCCCGATGCCTAGGCCCTTTTCCCCCCTGGGCCTGGCATCCCTACGCTTTCTCTGGAGGTGGCGGGGAGCACCAGTATCGTCTCTCCTTGTGCTGTATCCACCTGCAGCAGAGAGGTTTTGAACTCCACCAAGGAAACAAGGGGCCACAGACAGAAGCCGTCCTTATCCCCTCTATCTTACTAATACACCAAGCATATTTAAAGTTACTAACAAGGTTTTCTCCCCAGTAGCCTACTAAAAGTCAGTGAACACCCCCCCATACAAATCTATTAGGTAGTAATTTAAATTTTTTCACTTCAGCTGCTGAGCATTAATTACTATTTAGATACATCCAGCTCCTGTTTTCTAGCTGACCACATAGAGAAATTTGCTAAATTTGTTTACCATTTGTTATGCAAGTACTGACACCCACATACTGAACCACAGACATGTGGTTGGGAAATCCTAAACATGCATGAAAACATAGATGCCCAGGCATAAGCTTGGCAAAGGTCTCAAAGCTGTAGACCACAGTGAAGAACGCATCACCACGCACAAGTCAGTCACAGCAGGTAAAATATTGATGGAGAAGGAGGACAAAAACTTCTCAAACTCCAAAGTGGGGAAAAATTTAAAATAAAGTAATAATTTTAAAAAAAAAAAAAAACAAAACCAAAACTTAACCTCTCAATTCCTCCCTTTGGATTTTCTCTTGACTTCTAACCTGATTAAAACACAGTACTTTTCAGATTCAGTCACACTTTATATGCTCCCACTGGTACATCCTCGTTACATGACTACCATATGGTTAGCTCAAAGACACATACATCTATTTGTGTACCTGTACACTAAATAATCCTATATTGAAAAGGTAATCCTAGATTTTCTCAGTTTTTAAGCTAAAAAAGGTCAGACACGTTTATGTGACACCTAAAGGAAAGAGTCCATCTGACATGAGATGTCCTTCTGCAGCGAGGCTGCAAAGAAATGCAACAGAGGTTCAAGAAACATACAGTTTGACTCTTCCTGCTGTGGGACTGCTGCCTGCTCAGACTTCAAGCTCCCTGCTGTTAGAGCATAAATTCAGGTTTTCCTTATGTGCTTTTCAGAAGAAAAGTAAAAACATCTTTTTTGCAGGACAATAAAATATATTTACCTGCATTTCTGTCAACACCTGACAACAGTTTTACAGAACATAAATTCAAATTCTCAGCCTGCCAAACCAGTTATTAGCAACTGCGTGCCTTTTTTTTTTTTAATTGTAAATACTAGTTTACTAAGTATTTAATGTATTTTTTTGGTAGGGTATATATTATTCATTATTCTTGTATATCTTTTAAAATGTGCAGAATCGCTCATACTATAAATTTATCGATGACAATGCTGAAGAATATACGGACTCATATGGGCGATGCTTTGATTCAAGACTTACACACTTGTGAAGATGCCAAGGCCACATTAAAGCATGATCATGAACACATACATGCTCACGCACACACACACGCACAGACACATCTATTTAGATACACTTTTAGCAATAACAACGCTCAAATGCAATTAAAAAAAGTTATTACCAGGCAAGTCAAACCAACAATTTTAGTAGGAGACTACAGATGCAAAGGCAACTATTCAGTCATCCTTTAAACAAAGTCAGCTGTGACCAGTCACAGCCTGAAGCCATAGGATCACTTCACAGTGTACACTGTACTCCTACGGAAAAAAAAGATCTTCCACCTCTCTCCCCTCGTACTGCCTGCTTCCACCTGCACTGTGCCAGCATCTGAGAGGCCACATTTTACACTGACTCAGGAAACTGAAAAACAGCCTGGAAAAGAAAAATAACATTTCTAAACAAGTTCCCTCATTTACAGTGCGGTTCCACAAATGCGTGCAAAAGGAAGGAAGCCGAAAGGGATGTGTTTCTGTCTGTGACAGCAGCAGCACCCTACCTCCTCCATTCTTCCAGTGAAAGTGACAGGGTGCCTACCCTCCACCCTTGTCCTCCAACCTTCCCACCCAACCCCCGGGGCTTTGCCTACAAAACAAGACCTTCCACATGCCTTCCTCTGCTTCTGTAACCCACAGCTTTCTCAGAGGGGCCTAATACTGCGGGTTAAGTTGAGACAAAGGATTCACATACACAGAAATGAAAGCTAAGGAGGAGTCCAGAGCACGTTCAAGAACAGTTGCTCACTAGAGAGACTCTAAGAAAGACAAATGAGACGCGGTTATAGCAGGCAATTAGGAAAGAGTTGTTAATTTGTAAGAAATTTAGGACTAGAAATGAAAGTGACTCAACCACCTTACTTCTTTTCAAAGAAGTCTACTGCCAAAATGCAGATGACTTGCTTAATCCAGCAGGAGGAAAACATAAATGATGCAACAGACATTTCAAGAAAACATTAACTGTCTTACACATGCAAATGCAGGACACTGTTTCAAAGGGATTTCTGTTTACCAGTCTCTCAGCGCTGAAGTATGCCTCTGCTACTCTATTTTTGCCTCATCTGGCAAACATCAGTTTTAAAGATCTGATTAGAAATCTAACACTTTCTTCTGAGAGTTATTTCAAATTTCAAGTATGGAAAGACCGTAACTATTTTTAGACAGCTGTCTGGGCTAAACCATGCAGAGAATGGCATCAGTAACGAACATGATACAAACGAGTTTGCTCCCAAACAAAGCAGGAAGATGAAACTGGAGACTTGCAGATACCTTCATCTATAAGTAATGATGATCGTGCACAAACGGAAAGGGTTTAATTGTCATCCAGCTCACTGCTACCAGTCCAAGTCTTACACATGTGCACGGAAGAAAAGGGTTTTAAATGGTTGAGGGGAACGTAATGGCTAACTTCAAATACTGAGAAGATGGACTGAGACTGTCTCCAGCGATGCAAGCTAAAACAACAAGAGGCAATAGATACAAGTTGCAGCAAAGGAGCTTCCCATTTGACAAAAAGAAAAAAAAAAATCATCATAATGAAGGTGACCAAACATCAGCACTGGCCACCCAAAGACGCTGCGTGACCTGCACACTTGCAGGTATTGTGGGCAGTCTGACTTACCTGCGGAGCCAGCTCTGCCTGGACTGGAGGGCTGGACCAGATGACCTCCAGAGGCCTCTCCTAACCTCACCACTGTGCGTGTTCCTCCGTTCGTACGCACAGGAGGGGCAGACAGCCCTAACTTCTACCACTGCACAAGTCCCTGCTGGCCTAGTTTGGTATTCGGTATTTTTGTTGGTTTCACGGTTACGATTACGGAAAATGAAAGAGGGAGAGAATCATTAATCGTTTGTTTAAATAATATACGTAAATTCTGTTAGGCAACAGAGGCATAAGGGAGGATTATGACTCTCTTCTAAGCAGCAAAGCACATGGTTGATGACACAGCTTCGACACTTAAGTTTTAGTCATAAGACAAGACAGAACAAGCGTAAAGGACAAAGGCAAGGGAGCTGTCAGACAGACAAAGATATGAGATTAACAAGAAGATGCAGTTGTACGGACACTAAAAGCTGAAACTTGTCCCGAATTCTTTGAATACGTGAAAAACTATAATTAGGTAAATTACCCTGTAATTACACTGGGGGGAGCTATATTCTTGTCAGAGTGTGACAGAGCTAAAATTAAAAATTTTAATTCAAATGTTTTTTATTGCTGTAATAAAGTCCTCCGAGTGCTTTGTACAGCATTTTTTAGATAGTCTCTGAAAAGGAAACTAAGCTGAAGACAAGAAACATGCAAAATAAAGTTACTCAGTATCAAGGTGTTAAAAAAGAAACTCCACTGCTTCACAGATTTGTGCTTAACTGCAAGCATGAGTTTTTCACGAATTCATACCTTTGTTTCAGATGGCTTCCTAATTTGTGGTTTTGAGGATGCCACAGAAAGGGACTGCTGCCAAGAGAAAGAAAAAAACCAACAAATTAATTAATTTCACCTTTGTTATACATATTTCTATTAAGCAAGCATAAGCAACCTGAGTTCTTCAGAGATTCAGCTAAAAAATAACAGTAAATTATTATTGAAAATTAGAGTTATCATTTTAGATCTTCTGTCTGGCCTGTATTTCTACAACACACATTCACAGTTTACATTTAAATAAACAGCACAAGTTACTGATTTTTCCAGATTTTCTCTTCATTTTTACCATGCCACTTGCTGTATGAAAACACACATTGTCTGAATGAACCCAGAAGCTATATTACTACCCTATACCCTAGGGTGACTTCTCACATTCACAGGGAAAATTTTCTCATTTCCGTAATTTTTCACAGTACAAGCATTTCTCAACAATAAGACAAAAGCTATACCGAATTTAAAAGGTACCCTATGATGATGACACCGTGCTCTCCCCGCCAGTGTATCTAGTATCTTGCACACCTTAGTAAGAGGTTTGACTACACTAAATACACACTAGAGAGAATTTGCAATTGTCACGTTACAGAAACGTAAGCAAATAATATGTTTCCGTATATGTAAATACGTACAGATTGACCACATAAAAGATGGGGATTTTTGTATGGGTAGAGATGTGTACAGGAATGTATAGAGCCTTCTACATCAGGACAGAGAACAAAAGTTTTTGAACAACCTTTTTATACATTTCCACCACCTCCACCAGGTAATCTGTAGGCAACACTGTATTTTTCTCAATTTGCTCTTTAATAGTTATTCCTTTCCTTTTTGTTCTTTTCCATGACATTCATCTGAATCCCTTATACACGTTCTACACCTTTGTATTTGTCACCCTAGTCCCTGTCCATTTAACGGAAACACATTTATCTCAGCCCTTCTCCCCTCCTCCCCTCAGGAAACTCCAATCAACCCATTTTCTTACAGTACACTGAAAAATTCTTTCCCAAGTTCCAGCACCGCAGCACCACGACAACCCTGTCACGGCTTAAGGCTGGGCAGGCTCTGAGAAGGGGCAGCAGACGCTGCGGGAGGGGACGGGACGGAGAAAAGGGAGAGAGACTTACCAGCTGGAAATTAAGACTACTATAATAAAACAGTAACATTGAAAAAGAGCATAATGATATTAATACTATTAATAACAGAAATAAAAGGAAAGGTATACAAAACCTGTACTGAGCTTCCCGGCGACGGTCAGGGAATCGCAGGCCGTGGCGGCTCGCACCGCTGCC